ATTCCAATGACAATGTTGCTTGAACTTCTTACTGTGGCTATGGAATCGCAACGATGCATGCATCATGTAAAGGAACCTGTTTTCTTTCCTAGCCTCCAAAAGTTATGCCTCACCGTGGACTTCATCACTGACCATTTGATTGGTTCACTATCAACTGCGCTTCCATCATTGACACATCTGGACCTGCAGGATGCACCTATAATAGAACCTACAACATCATCAGATCTCACCAATGCTGGTCTTCAGCAGATTAATCCAAATGGTAAGTTGAAGCATATTTCTCTCATGAGAAGTCAGGAGTTCTTATTCACCTCTTTCCGCCGAGTAAATGATCTTGGAATCCTGCTAATGGCTGAAAAGTGCTCAAGTCTTGAGAGTGTCTGTCTTGGTGGTTTCTCCCGCGTGACAGACACAGGTTTTAGGGCTATCATCCACTCTTGTTCTGGCCTTCATAAGCTTAGGGTGTCCCATGGAAGCCAGTTCACAGATCTTGTTTTCCATGACATAATTGCCACTTCCCTTTGCCTGACACATGTGAGCCTGAGGTGGTGTAATCTCCTTACTGACGTTGGAATTGAGAGGTTGTCATTCAACAAGGATCTCAACGTATTGGATCTCAGGGACTGCAGGAGTCTGGGTGATGAAGCTGTTAGATCTCTAAGCTGCCTTCCCAAATTGCAGATATTATTCTTGGATGGAAGTGATATCAGTGATCAGGCATTGAAGTATCTGGGCCTTGGAACATGTCCACTAGCTTCCTTATCTCTGAGGGGTTGCCGAAAGTTAACAAATGATTGCATACCACTCTTGTTTGCTGGTTCTGTTAAACAGAGCTTACAGGTGTTGGATCTCTCTAGAATACCAGGTATTACTGATGATGGTATCATGTTATTAGCAAGGAGTCGAACTCCTATTATTGAACTCCGAATGAGAGAGAACCCGAAAATAGGAGATGCTGCTGTGATGGCTCTTGCGTCTATGCTAGTTGATGGTGGAACCCATGGCAGTAGCTTGCAGCTGCTGGATCTTTATGATTGTGGTGCGATTACACCACTTGCAATCCGGTGGTTCAAGAAACCATATTTCCCAAGATTGCGATGGCTAGGAGTAACGGGCAGCTTGAACAGGGTTATGGTGGATGCCCTTGTTCGAAGCCGTCCATTCTTACATATGGCTTGCCGTGGTGAAGAATTGGGGACTTTCAATTGGGATAGATCCTCCGATTGGTATCGACATGATGATGATGATCTTGATGAGCTTGAACAGTGGATTTTGAATGGTGAACCTGTATCTGACACTGAAACCATCACTGAAGAATAAGGCATCACTCTTTAAGGTTTCTTGACCCACAATAATCTCCCTGTTCTAGCCTGCTAGTGTTCATCTCCTGTTGTACCTCCACCATTTCATTTTTCTTTCTTATAAAGCTATTGTGTGATTGTCTCTACCAGTTGAGGTATTTTCTTGCGGTGTATGCATATGCAAACCTATCCGTTGCTGTATACTTGTATCACGCAACACGCATACACGATATGCATGTTGCATTCAGATTCCCTGGGCTTATGTATGTACATTGTTTGCTTTCCTGACCTGATGTTGTACTGGTATCTTTTTCCAGGTTTCAGCTTTTCTCATAGTTAAGTTATTTATCGACCTTATGCCATATAAGATGTTTACGATTGCTGGCTCTTATACGATATCTTAAGTGGGCACCTTTATTGTGGATACGCTCTAATTGTTTGTTATGCGACATGTGCTTCATCATATGTTAGTATCAAAAGATCACTTTGGTAAAGCGCCAGGTCCACTACCTCTAGTTAGTTTCAGTTTCCTTGCCGTAGTTAGCATAAACAAGCTTGTAAGCTATACATCCGCTTGTTTGTTTCTCACTATCCTCGTTTGTGGCTGTAGAGCCACCGAAACCAGGTTGAGCCGCACCACTCTCCGGAGCAAAACCAAAAAAAAAAAAGTGCGTAGTATGTTTTGATCCAGTACTGAAAGACGAACATACAATAGATTTTTTTTTTCAGTTAATGGTGTCTCTATACAGTATGGTTTGTAGTAAAAATGTACTACTACTGAGCAGGAATTTTTTTACCGGTGTTAGGCCCTGTCATCCGAAATTTCGATACAAATTAGAAAGTATTAAATGTAGACTAATGATAAAACTAATTCCATAATTTTAGACTAATTTGCGAGACGAATCTATTGAGCCTAATTAATTTATGATTAGCATATGTGATGCTAAAGTAACATGTGCTAATTATAGGTTAATTAGACTTAAAAAATTTATCTAGTTTTATTAGTAGTAGTCTATAGAGTATTTAATACTTATATATTTAGTGTCCAAACATCCAATATCCAACGTGACAAGAAAACTTTAGTCACGGGATCCAAACGCTTAGCACAACTTGATATCCTAGGTAGAATGTCTAATTAAAAGCTTTTCTGTGAGTTTTTACCGTGGATAAGGCCACTCGAGCCCATCTGTCAGTGTGTCAGACTGTCAGTGTGCCGCTCACTCGCGTCCCTCCGTCTCCGGCCAGCTAGTGGAGTGGAGTACATTCACTAGTGGTTTGCTTCCAGTTCCTATCCAATCTCTGGTCTTCCGGCAGGTCCCCGAAGAAGGAGCGGCGGCGATGGCGGCGCCTGTGACGGTGTACGGTCCGATGATCTCGCCGGCGGTGGCGCGCGTGGCGGCCTGCCTCCTGGAGAAGGACGTGCCGTTCCAGGTCGAGCCGGTCGACATGTCCAAGGGCGAGCACAAGTCCCCTTCCTTCCTCAAGCTCCAGCCCTTCGGCCAGGTCCCCGCATTCAAAGACAGCCTCACCACCGTCTTCGGTAAAACCCTAATCCCCCCCCGTTTCCTCCGCTAATTTCGTTGCTCCTCCAGTTTCCTTTTATTCTCCCTTTCTCTTTTGTTCGAAATACGTACTGATTCATCACATCAATATATTGGAAAAAGGAGATGCAAATAACATGTAGCCGCGTCTAATTAGTAATTACCTAGAAATTTCCCCAATCACTAGTGCCCTTTGTGAAAAAAATGATATAGTTTCCATGTTCTAAAATGGTCCTTGAATGCAAAAGATGAGGAGATCTACATATGGTTTAACTGATTGTATCATATCATGTTTGGCAGAGTCGAGGGCTATTTGCCGTTACATCTGTGACCAGTACGCCGACAGCGGTAACAAGACCCTCATGGGCAGGAAAGAAGATGGGGCGGTTGGCCGCGCTGCCATTGAGAAATGGATAGAAGCTGAAGGCCAGAGCTTCAACCCACCGAGCTTGGCAATGGCATTCCAGCTCGCATTTGCGCCGTTCATGGGTAGGGCCACTGACATGGCCGTGGTTGAACAAAATGAAGCGAAACTTGTGAAGGTGCTCGATGTTTACGAGCAGTGGCTGGGGGAGAACCAGTATTTTGCAGGTGATGAGTTCTCGCTGGCGGACCTGGTGCACATGCCCAACACAGATCTTCTTGTGCGCAAGACCAACAAGGCAGGGTTGTTCACGGAGAGAAAGAATCTGGCGAGGTGGTGGGATGAGGTATCAGCTCGTCCTTCATGGAAGAAGGTTGTTGAGTTGCAGAATGTACCACGGCCCTCATGAGGCTTCTTGTTTTTTCCCCTCTGAGCGTCTTGTGTTAGTTGCGTTAAAGATTCGGTCTTGTTCAGTTGTTTGTATCATTTGACAAAATGTGCAAGCTCTTCCTATGGGTCCCTAATATTGTGCTACCATCTGTACCTTTTAGTTTGGATAAGGTTGAATCTATTTTCAGGTTCTCAAGTTTACTTACCTAACAGTTCCCTTAACAAGGTAACAATGGTATAGACAAATAGTTGCAAATGCCATACTGTCGGCACTGAATTCTTGACAGACATGGTATCCTACCACACATTCATAATATGCAACTATTAGATTTACATATTCTTGATATGTCTGCTAGCAAAAAGAACTGCATTGTCCTGTTCCTTTTAGTAGATTGTTCTAGTTCACTATTGAAATTTAAGTTGCATATAGCTTCTTTTTTTAACGACTCATATAACTTTCAGGCTACAGCTGATCTTGGAGTTGGTTTTTTGGTATGAGATTGGAAAACTGGAAATGTTTTGGCTCCTTTGTTTATCCATACGTTCTCTAATTACTAGTGTTGAGATTGAGGGTAAATGCTTTAGAGATTTCAACGTTAGTAGGCTGTCAGCAAAACAGCACTGCTGAGATACAACCATTGAGAACTATTCTGAGTTTATTGTGATTATTGGGCATTGCCTCAGGAATTGTACAGTGAAAAGGCCCTAAGCATTCCCCGATATTTTGTGCTGCTAGCAATCCAAGATGAGGTGGAAAACGAATTGTCATGAATCATGATTCCCTTGCTCAGAATGTCAATAATATTGTAGATTTCCAATTCATTTTTTTTTGCTACATCATGGTGCAATTATTACAAGTAATATGCAGAGTCATTTTAAGTTCATCTTGTAGTATTGCAGGCGTAACTCCTGACAGCCCGCTAATGTTATTCTAAGTTAACAACTAGTAGTCCTTGTTTAAAGTTGAAGAACATACAGGTATGTCTTTTGCTCAACATTAAAGATTAAGCACATGCAGATGTATCGTTGGTTAATCTTCTATAGGTTAAACAGCTGGATTATATCCAACTCTGTACTAGGGACGTTGCTTTTGTTGAAAAGCTTATTCTTATACCCTGGCGGAAGTCACAACATCTTCTTTGTATGTCTAGTACTTGATTCCAATCTTCTTCTTACTGTCCTATATAAATTCTCATAAACAATATAAAAGAATCTTGTAGTACTGTGTAGCAAGCTCCTTCTATGCTATATTTTTCACTCTAGTGCTGAAGGACTTCATAGATACTAATAAAGAAGGCTGTTTTGTAGGATTTGTTTTTGTTCTAGACAATATGATTGTTGCAAGCAAGAATCCAGATCTTCCTCTTTTTCTTTACACTTTTCCTTTTCCATTTTTGTGGTGCCTGGTAGCAAGGCAAGCATAGAACTTCTCCTTTTGTTTCTATAAATACCTGATTAAGAATCCTGCTGTCATCATCCCTCGTTGTCGTTTTAAACAACTTGATCAGGTGATCAATCAAATCAATAGAAACGATGGCTGCAGGCTTGCAAGTGTTTGGCCAGCCAGCATCTACTGATGTTGCCAGGGTCCTGACATGCCTCTTTGAGAAGGATCTGGAATTTGAACTTGTCTGCATTGATACATTCAAGAGAGAGCACAAGCTTCCTGAGTTCATTAAGCTGCGGGTACGATACTATTTATTTATTTTTATTTAGATTCATTCTCTCGAATACTAAGTTAAGCTGTGCTCTTTTTGACCTTTTCAGGATCCTAATGGGCAAGTGACATTTAAACATGGTGACAAAACCATCGTCGGTAAGGCCACCATGGATCCACATTACAATGGCTACTTTACGTTATTAGTTTTACTTTCTTTTTTTGAGGATTTGAGGACAACGTGAACCCTATGTGCAGATTCAAGGGCTATATGCCGGTACGTTTGTACTCAGTTTCCAGAGGGAAATAAGACCCTTTATGGAACGGGATCTCTAGAACGGGCATCAATAGAACAGTGGCTTCAAGCAGAAGCTCAAAATTTCAGCCCTCCCAGCTCGGCCCTCGTCTTCCATCTCGCATTTGCTCCCCATCTGAACATTCCCCAGGACCATGCTGTTATTGCAGAAAATGAGAAGAAACTTCAGCAAGTCCTCAATGTTTATGATGAGATACTCTCAAAGAATGAGTACCTGGCTGGTGATGAGTTCACCCTGGCTGACCTTTCTCACCTTCCAAACTCACATTACATTGTGAGTTCTGAGAGAGGAAGGAAGCTCTTCACTGGCAGGAAGAATGTGGCAAGGTGGTACGACCAAATCTCAAAGCGCGAGACATGGAAGCAGGTGGTCAAGATGCAGAGGGAGCATCCGGGTGCATTCGAGTAATGGCCTGATATATTGCCCAAGTTCATCGTGTCCGTTGTCGATCGATCTGGCTTCTGCTGTCCTGTGTTGTCATCGTCGCTAGTTTGCCTGTTCCCTGCTTATATTGTCGTGTGACCAAATAATATGAAGCCTCTTCTTGTTGTGACGTAGTTTCATACCATGTACCTCGTTGCTTTACAGGTCATTTGTTTTCTCCCTTGTTTAGTGATTAAATAAAATTGTTAATCGACCTGGCAGTTCTAAATCTGTTGTTTTCTTCGCCTGAATAATAGTATTCTTTTGTGCTTGGATTGAGCTTTTGAGTGGCACATAAAACGAGAAGAGTCATTAGACTAATTGAATACTATTATAAACTAAAATAATGTATTTTTTAAAAAGAAACTTATGCGTAGACAGATTTTTAAAACACACATCGTTTAGTAGTGAAGCGTGTTCACTAAAAATAGGAAGCGTGTTCACTGAATATGGGAAAGCAGTTAAACCCTTAAGCGGAACTGAAAACAACCTTAATGAAATGGAATGCTGAATAGGTGAATGATTGATGATAATTATTTGAGGCTACAAACAAACGATGAAATGAATTACCATTATAGATAAATAGATTTACACACACACACACACACACAAAAAAAAAAAATCACATCGTTTAGGAGCTCTAGAAGCGAACCATCATTCCATGCCTAAGGATCCTAAGGATCTTGGATGTAAGAATGCCACAACACAAATTTGTAAGGAATTCATTGGTGAACGAGTAGATTTGAATTTAGATAGTGAAGTACTGCTATGAGTTGAGTTGTGAGCATATGACTCTATATCTATTAGAATTTAAATTGTTCATAAATATTACACAGATGCATGTTTTTATAGGAATCTAGTAAAGTTAGAGATTTGTGTTGGTCGTCCGTTTTTTAGTGTGTTAAGAGACCACTTGCGGATGTGTGTATAGTATTAGTATGGTCTTGTATATCCTGCAACGGAAAAAAAATTAAATGGTATGCACAATTAAGGGGAGAAAGGCAGACAGAGTAGAATCGTTTAAAGTCTTGAAACCGCTGGCAACTAGACAGGGTCTTGCTGCCGATTTGCCGACCATTCGCCACCAGATCAACCGATCATCTATAGGGTTTGATGTGTTGGGCCGAACGGTCAGGCTCAGGTTATCCCGAAAATGCTCTGGGTCGTGCGACCGGCGCGGGGGAGCCAGGTCGTCCCCCGCGCGCCCCTCCTCCCACGTGAACCCACCCATTTCTCTCTCTCTTTTTTTTTAAAAAATGTTTCACCTAATTTATCTATAATGTTTCACTATTTATAGATCTAATGTTGCAGTGAATTAAAATACTCATTTGCAACAAAAATCCCACATATTTTGGAAACTCTCTATTAAGAGAATTTGGTTTATTTTTTGTTCCATAAAAAAATGTTTCACATAGTATACTCATAATGTTTTACTATGTATAGATCTAATGTTGCAGTAAACGAAATATTCCAGTGCAACAAAAAACCCACATATTTTGGAAACCTCCTATTAAGGGAATTCGTTTTATTTTTTTTCCACCGAAAAATGTTTCACCTAGTGTACTTATAATGTTTCACTATGTATGGATTAAATGTTACAATGAACTGAAACAATTTTTTGCTATTTACTTAAATATTATTTTTATATAAGGTGAAACAGCACCAGATTTAAACAAGTGAAACATTTTCGATCAACTTAGTGAAACAATTCCAATATACCTGGTGGAACATCGCAACATTTAAAAATAATTCAATAATAAGCTAATTTTTTTTGTCGGAATATATCCATGTGTGGTCTTGTTTTGAAGATTTAATTATAACGAATTTAATGGTGCAATTGGATCATGATTTGGATTAGTAATTTAAGAGAAAAATCAGTTTAAAATAGTTTTGCACGTAAATCGGGCGCTGACGTCCCGATTTTTTCCCACCCACGATCGGGCGCCCGATTTGTAGGGGTCCAGGTTATCCAGGCCAACCCGTTTTAGGACCGGCCTCATCTTTACTTATGCTTATACTTGTTAGTCAAAATTTGAATTTTTAACATTAAATTTAGTATTGATTTTGAAAGTTTTTTCATCATAGTTTATTTTTCAGTTTTTGCTTTTAGATCGCTGAGAACACGTATATAAAAATTTTATTCATAAATTTTTTTTTGTTTGTAAATATACCGTTTGTCTTTTTTCTGTGAATAAGCCAAACAATGACCCTGATTTCGTGTCGTGGTTTTATATCTGACAAATTTTGATGAGAAATTTGATCAAAAAATGCATAGCAAAATCGCTCATATGATCTGATGTATGTGAGCCACAACTTTGCAAGTGGTGGACGAGCCGATTGAAGTCATTGAACTCGTTCCCTCTTCTACGGTTCTACCCCAACACTGTCCTTGCAACTTTATCGGTTAGAATGCTAAGCTAAATCTGTGATTGCCGTTGCATCTAGCCACGTCGTCATACACGGGTAGCAGTAGCACCAAAAGGCACTCTCGTACTTCAAGATATACTTGTTTTCTCGGACGGATCAAATTCCATTGTTCTAGAATGTCCTGTTTAACATCACACTCGATTGGACATTACCTTTTTTCTCTCTCAAAAACAATCGGAATGAAACAGCTCTAAAGAACGTGCTAAGTGTACCTACTGAATCCAACCTTAAATCCGTAGCGTACGTAACCCCTGCTCCGTTCATCATCCCCTGCCAGTATGCCTTGTGTACCTTGTTCGTTTCTTTGCAATATTCATTCCGACAAATGCACGCAGCCTCTTTTGTATCGGTTACCCTATTGATAAAAGATCACGCCGAGACACATGGGGGATCGTCTCTTTTCCTTGCCGGAGATGATAGTTGCTCCAAGCAAGAATCAGGGGCTAGCTCTTCTTTATCTTTGAGCTTTCTCTTTTCCTCGCCGTCCTGTAATCCTCTGCAGCAAGGCAAGCACCTAATCCATCCCTATAAATACCCATCGGCGTCTCTGCCTCCTCACAGCGAGCCACACAGGTTAAGTCACTTTCACCTGCAAATCCACAAGCACATTGCTCGATCACCGAGGAAGAAAACTAGCTAGCTTAATCACCGGGAAGAGTTGAGCAATGGCGGCAGGATTGCAGGTGTTCGGCCAGCCGGCGTCCACCGACGTCGCGAGGGTCCTGACCTGTCTCTTCGAGAAGAACCTCGAGTTCGAGCTCATCCGCATAGACACCTTCAAGAAGGAGCACAAGCTCCCCGAGTTCATCAAGCTACGGGTATAAATAAAATCATCATGCCATTTCAATCCATTCGGTTAATTTTAGGCTCTTGGAAATGAAACAATCACGCACGTACATTGGCTTCATTCTGTCCCCTCCCATGTTCTTTTGCAGGATCCGACCGGGCAGGTGACTTTCAAGCATGGCGACAAGACTCTTGTTGGTAATTACTGCTTTCTAAATTTTCTTAATCACCTGAATTATTAACAAATGGATTCTTGTTTCTTAATCTTCTTGTTGTTTTGTGGCATAGATTCAAGAGCGATATGCCGATACCTGAGCACTCAGTTCCCAGACGACGGGAACAGGACGATCTACGGGACGGGGTCGCTGGAGCGGGCGTCGATCGAGCAGTGGCTGCAGGCGGAGGCGCAGAGCTTCGACGCGCCGAGCTCGGAGCTGGTGTTCCACCTGGCGTTCGCGCCGCAGCTCAACATACCGGCCGACGAGGCCCGCATCGCGGAGAACGAGCGGAAGCTGCAGCAGATGCTGAACGTGTACGACGAGATCCTGGCGAAGAACAAGTACCTCGCCGGCGACGAGTTCACCCTGGCCGACCTGTCCCACCTCCCGAACTCCCACTACATCGTCAACGCGCGGTCGCCGAGGGGCAAGAAGCTCTTCACCTCCAAGAAGCACGTCGCGAGGTGGTACGAGGAGATCTCCAACCGCGCCTCCTGGAAGCAGGTGGTCAAGATGCAGAGCGAGCACCCTGGCGCGTTCGAGTGATATGCGCACGCGCAGCTCAAAAACTCTCTTGCATTCTGCGGCGAGCTCTGCTTTGTCTCGTCCACGGCTTTAATTCGTCGGGCTTCATGCAGTGATGTGGTTGTCGTCTACGTTAATTGTCGTTTCGGCTAAGAATAATATGAAGCCTTCTTGAGGTCTCCTCTCAGTGTATTCCTTTTGCAACGCCATGTCTTTCGATTCAATAAATATAAATGTGTCCCAGCCTTTTTTGCTCATGTGCAGGCAGTATATGTAGCCCTCCGAAAAAACTAATTTTACTGCAAGTCTAGCTAGCATGGGCCAACAATTGAGTACGTAGTTTGACCTAGCTAACGCCTAGGTCAATACACAATAATACTTTGGGGGATCCATTGTACTGCTGTCTACTTCCTCCATCCCATAAAAATAAACATAGTACATGATATGGTATTTCCAGTAATACAAATCTGGACAATAATCTATTCAGATTCATAGTACTAAATATGTCATATTTCATATTAGTTTTTGTTTTATATGGGACGAAAGAAGTATGCAATAAGAACCACGCGCATGTGGATAGTCTTGGAAATGATAGCATCAAAATCCAACCCATCATACTACATTGAGTTTATTTTTGTCATCATGTTCTTAAAAAAAACTTTTTTTTTCTAAAGAGTAAAATGCATGAAGGGTTATTTAACTTGTTTAGGTGTATCATGTATATATCACTTTACTTTCAAAATACACATTGAGTCACTAATATAAGTTAAGTGAGCCATGTGCTCATCTAATTATCCACGTGAGTATATCATACATTTGGCATTCCACCTAAAATTAAAAAAAATACTTCTGAAAATGCGTAGACCTAACAATGAAAGCTGCTAGAGTTTGATGCCAAGTGAGAGAGGACTGGGAACTAGAACTCGTCAAAATAGGTACAAGTGAAATGATTTGATTACACTAGTTTCGTGTATTGTTAATTGGTAGCTGTCGATTTCTAAGACTGGTAATAAAATTTATAGAGTACGCTAGATGCTAGAAAGAAATGGTGACATAGTGATTTATACTAGTTTAGACTCTCGGGATGAGGTAATACTCTAGTCCAGTTGTTTGGTGGATTACCTATGTATGAGTGTTGAATGAAGATAGTGCGTAACCCCCAAGGGGTGCTGTCGATTCCCTTTATATAGCAGCAGGGTGATCGGCGACAAGGAGGATGCGATATCCCTTAAATTCTGGGTACCTGCCATCTGTCAAGATTGGTGGGATAGGTTTTTATCTCCCTATTCGCCGCCATTTATAGTAACAGATTACATGGGCCTGGGCTTGTATCACGCTAGAGATCTATACTTCGAGTACTGTGATGGGCTACCCCGGTACGATAACTCTCATAGTAATGCTATGTGAATCGAAAAATATATGTTTTCTGCATATTTCTATATGCATTTTTTTTCAAGGCAGCGTATCGTATGCACACAGCTAGGTAGATGCACTCATGCACACACCCATCCTGAGCCTTTGGATCAACATCCTGCGGCCAAGACCTCGAGTGTGGTATTTTTGCAATTAGCCGCCCGCCTCCTCCACTTACTTTTACGAAAGACCCCTCCACAACTCTCTTCTTCACTCATGCAGTTCATTTTGCAAAAAAAAAAAAAGAAGAAGAAGAAGAAGAAGAAGAAGAAAAGAAAAAAAATCGCCCATTTCATTCTGGATCTTGCACAAGCACTCCCACCATCGGCGGAGACAGAAATCTCTAGCAACGGCTTGTATTCGTAGGCAGCGAAAATAACATGCTGGCCATCGATGACGACCTCAATCGACGGTTCGCCGGCGGAGACAGCAATCTGGAGCAACGCCGCATCCGGAGAGGCTGCCGCAGTGCTGCTACTCTTGAGTATCGCTGTGGCAGAGATTCTGTTCAAGTTTAGTGGAAAAAAACTTTCTCAACTAGTTGGCATGTAGCTAATGGCTAAATATCTTCTCACCTATCAGTTGAGGATGAACTGATGATTGATGAGCAGCACAACTTACTGGTTCTGAAACTCTACCAAATACAACTAAAAGAACAAATTTCTCTGCGAAAAAAGTGGACTGGCAATTCAGACTTCATTTCAGACAAGCACACAGGTAGCCGAACCCAAAAGATGATAAATCTCAAGCTAAAAAAACCAATAGAACCCCATAAAAGGATACGATCCAATCTTGACAAAAAAAAACATTGTAGCGCCCGTTCCGTCGTGGCGCCTAGCAGGAAAATTTAAATTCTAAAAAAAAACCCTAATTGCGAAATCTGTTTCTTTGCTTGTTGTAAGTCTCCATGCCAATCCCTGATCTCGAATCCCCGATCTATCGTCAAATTCAAATCCCGAATCCAAATCCTTCCCAAATCAAATTCCTCCGCAAAAGTCTATTTTCCCTCCCTCAGGTTCGGTGGGCTGATTTCCTCTCTCTCTCCCTCAGCTCTCCCCTCGCTCTGCCCGCGCGCCGCGTGCGCGTGCGCATGCGCGTGAGCCGATGCCGAGCCGAGCTCTCCCTCTCTCTCTCGTTCTCCCGCTCTCCCTCCCCGCTCCATCCCCGGAAAACTCTCCGCGCGTCGTTACCTCGCGCGCGCGCCCGCGCGGTCGCCGCCGTCGTCAGCCGCCTGCTGCCTGTGCCTGCGCCGTCCGGCCACGCGCCCTGCGGCACTGCGCCGCCTGTGCCGCGCCCTACCCCACGAGCCAGCGCGCGTGCCCTGCCGCGCCTGAACCCGCGCCTGCCGCCCTGTAGCCGCGCCCTTCCAAACCGCCCCCGCCGTCATCGCCGTCGTCACTACCCGGCCCCGCCACCACCGCGCATGCTTCCAAGGGTTGGAGGCAGAGCTCCTCCTCCCACTGCCTCGTCGCCCTCTCCCTCCTTCCTTCTTTTCCCAAAGTGGCAAGAGGCAAGTCTCCTTTCCCTCTGTCTTTTCTTCTCCCCCTTCCCCCCCTCCGCCGGCGTCATCCTCCCTGTCGCCGTTTTGGCCGCTAGCCGGAGAGCCAGCTCGCTGGCTTGACCGCCCAATGTCAGTTCCTCCCTCCCAAACCGACATTGCTGCCCTATAAACCCGAGCCCCTCCCCAAACCAATCTTCCCCATTTTCGCCCTCGCCATTGCCGCACCCTGCCCTGTTCGCCGTCGCCGTTCGTCGTCGCGCGTGTCGGAGGAGCCGGCACGAGCGAGGACGCGTGACGTGGACTCCGGGCGCACCCTCTCCTTCCTCTTCCCCGGCCCGAGGCCAGAGCGATCACGCCCCGCGCCGTCGGCCATCGTCACTGCGCCCCTTCACCCCGCACTGTAGTGCCTCCTCCCCGTTCTCCCTCCTCGTTCCTCCTCTTCCCCTTAGCTTTCGGTAGAAGCTCGTATAGCCTCCCCGTAGCTAGCTGGTGCCGCCTCGACCGCTGCCGCCGCTCGCTGTGTGCTCGCCGCCGTCGCCGCCCGTGCTCCGTAGCGCCCGCACGTCGTCGGCCTCTCTCGTAGTGTCTCCGTCTAATCCGATGCTAGAAACGGACTTCCGGTGGCCGCGTAGATGCTCTAGTCCGGAGGAATCGAACCCTAGTCGCGTCGTTGCCGTTTCCCTCTTTTCTCGCCGCCGGTTGCCGCCGCCGCAATCCGCCGCCTTCGAACTCCCTCCGGCGAATCCGAGCCGTTGGCTCGTCTCCCCTCGTCTCGTGCAACCACCCGGTGTGCTCGCTTTCGCCTGTATCGCTGTGGTTCGCCCCGCCGTTCGCAGCTGCCGTCAGCTGTCCGTTCCGGCCGTCGCCTTCTTCAACCTCCCGCCGGCCCGCGTGGCAGCCACGTAGGCGCCACGTCGGCGCCTGCTCGGCCAAGATCGGGTCAAGCCGACCCCGGTCCGCCGCTCCCCTTTGCCCCGCTCGCGCGCGCAGTCCACCGCGAGCCGTGAGGCTGCGTGTGGGGCCGCCGCATCCGCACCCACCACGAGCCGCGCGCGTGCACCGCGCCCCGCTCCAAACCCTAGCGCCGCGTTGCGTGCTCCTCGCTCACGGTGAGCCGAGCCGCCGACAAGCGGGTCCCACTCGGGACCACGCGAGATGGACCCGGCCCACCGGCTACCTCTCTCCTCTCCTCCTGCGCGTGCCTTGGGCCGCCTTCTCAGGCCGGCCGGCCCATTAAGCTCGGCCGACCGCCCCTTTCTCTCGGGTCGTGCCCTAGCCACCCGAGGGAAGTCTGTTTCCCCTCCCTCTTTCTTTTCTTTTCAAAAGGGTTTAATTAAATCCTTTTTCCTTTAGACCAAAAATCCAATAATCTTAGAAATTCAATATCTTCTCAACCGTATGTCCGTTTGACTCCGTTCAACTTGCAAAATTCCTCAAATCTCGAGATCTATTTAATGGCACGTTTAGAGGTCAACAATAGGGCTTTATTTTCGCCGTTTGTTGAGTTGTCCCGTTTCGCGTGTAGTTTCGAAGCCCGAAGACCCGCAGTGCGAGGATTTCGAGGATCAAGCTCAAGATCTCGAGCAAGGCAAGTCACCTTTGATCATCTTGCACCTATAATTTAAAACTAAGTATTTCTTTTCTGCAAATATTGCATGAATAGGATTAACACAAGTAAATCGGCCGCGGCTTGCGAGATAGCCTGCCGGTCGCAATCCTAATTGCTGCAATTACCCTCCTTGAATTATTGAACACCTAAACCTCCTTTGTCAACTGTTGTGCTTCGATGCACGGGCCTTTGGGCACGGGCATCGGAACACCTCCCCTCAAATTTAAAATATCCAATGATGGGTAAAACTTGGGGTTTTACAAAAGACTTGGAAAACCCGACACCTGGGTCGGTGCTTGCGAACTAAAATGAATTTCCAAAATCGCGGACCGGGGGACGTACCGGGAGTACGGTTTCCTGCTCTTGCACTTAAGGACCGTTTCCTTGGAATTTCATCCGAACATAAGGCAAGTGCGACCACATGGGTGGAATGGGACACCCCTGGCTGAGTAACTAGCTAATCGGGGGAACCATGATGCCAAGAGACATGTCGATTCAACGGGGTGGTGTTGGGGAGAACCCCCGGGCTTCCTGGCACAGTATGGTCTGGGACCTAACCTGTTGTTGGTCTGGGACCCCTCTCGTTGGCATATGGTAACCCTGTGTCGGCTTTCGAAATGCCTTGACGTGAAAGCCCCAAAGTCACCAGACGTGGCTATTCTGCACAGGCTGGGTGACCAAGGCTAGTAATGTCATGTGGGTAAAGTGTACCCCCTCTGCAGAGGTTATTAAACTGTTCGAACAGCCGTGCCCACGGTCATGGGCGGATGTGAGGTGATTCCTAGCGTAGTTTTGTTTGACTACTGCTTGTGAAATTACTGTTGTGGAATGGGTTCGATGTTTGAAAAATCTGCGGCTGATGGGATCAGCCAGGCCCGGGTGGCCGTTTGAAAGCTGTTGGCCAGGTGCTAACCTTGAATCAATTCAAAGACTGATACGTTGCACATACTCCGACCGGACGAGACACACTGTCTCATCCGTGTCGTTTGAGAAGCACTCACTTAGTTGTTTCAAAAAGGAGTTTAAATAAAACCAGTTGCAAAAACAACAGCCTTTCCTTTGAAGCCTGCATTAAACACTTAATTCCCATGGCTTGCTGAGTACTCCTGTACTCACCCTTGCTCTATATAAATAATCCCCCCCAGTTGCTGAAGAAGATGAAGTGGATCCCGCTGACGAGGAGTTCTTCCAGGAGCAAGTCGGCTACGATGAGTTTTAGGGTTTCGGTCTAGTTCCCAAGTCGCGCCTGTGATGATTGGTCCAAGTCTTGGCTTCCGCTTTCCCTTTGTAATGCAGTTGTGAGCTCGAGATCTGTCCGCAGCCCAACATGACTGTACTCCTACTCTGTAATAAAGAGACCTCTGTTGCTGTGATATTCTGTCTTCCTATGATACTAGCACTGTTTCCTAGGACTGGTATCGATTAACAGGTTAATTTGGAGCGTCACGGGCTAGTTCCGTTTGGGGCTAGTTCGGGGCGTGACAAACATCCAGCTCCAATCTTCACCAGGCACCAACCGAGCTCAGTTTCCACTCTCCTCACAAACTTTACGACGATGAGAGCAGCGACAGCCTCTGAAGATGAGCCGTCGCTCCAAATCTCTGGCTCCAAAGGCTCACCGTCACTGTTCCGTCGGCCACGCTGATTGAGGTCGTCGTCTCCGCCGATGCGTTGTAGTCGTCGCCTTCGAAGTCCGAATACGGCGCCGCTCGAAATCGTCCTTTCCACCGATGAAGCCCGATGATGCGCGTGCTTTGTGCCCGTTGTGCCAGATCCAGAATGGGATGAGTTTTCTCTTCTTTTTTTTTCTTTTTTTTTTGCAAAATGGATTGCGTGAGTGAAGAAGAGAGTTGTGGAGGGGTCTTTCGTAAAAATAAGTGGAGGAGGCGGGCGGCTAATTGCAAAAATACCACACTCGGGGTCTTGGCCGCAGGATGTTGATCCAAAGGCTCCGGATGGGTGTGTGCATGAGTGCATCTACCTTGCTGTGTGCGTGCATACGATACACTGCCTTTTTTCAACCCTACGTGACATACCTACAACATATGCACATATGCTTGTATGGATAGTTAGATTAGTGACTCAAATGTGTATTTTTAAAGTAGAGTGATCTGTATGACTCCGACACACCTAATAAGTTGGATGATATTCCATTCATTTTACTCGTTTTTAAATTAAGATCCTCCAAAATAAATAACTACACTTTGGATGGGTGGTTTTTGACGGACTTGAAAAGTAAGTTTCAACAATGTTAAAACCCATTTAAGTGCGAACCGTTCACATTGTAAAAACTTTCATAAAGTGCTTATGACAACCAAATAGTTTCACCGTGTCTTGTTGTGTGTAGTTAGACAGAGGCGGGTGAAAAGATAACCGATTTTTCGTTATGGCGTGAAAACTGGACTCAGTCCCGAGTTCATGGACATTTTCATGTGAATTAATTAATCTGCATGTCAACTAGAAAAAGGCATTGTTAATATGATGAACTGAAACTCTACCCTCGCATCGGCTCGTAAGTTAAAAAGGAGTAGTACTCCTTAACATGAACAAACTACGCTGTAAATCGGGTGTTACTTTTTAGGTCAAATAAAATGTTTACACTAAAATTTCAAATTAAATGCGATAAATTAGGGATTGTTTAGTTGATAGCCACACTTTACCACATTTGTGTTATCCACTTTTGATAAGTTAGCCTAGTATTTGATTGTTGCTACAACTATGTTACACTTCACTTTTTTAAGAAATTAGGCCCACTTATCATATATTTTTTTCACAAAATTACCACATAATATGTGGTTTGCCATATTTTGTCAAAACTTTTGTGGTAAATTGAGGGTGTCAACCAAACAACCCTGATATTTACGTTTTGAGCCTAGCGCCTCAATACCTTTTTTAATGTGTAATACGGTTAAAGGCAAAAGACAGCACATTCTTAACGTGTCTATGTGTATATGTGTATATAAGGTGGTCTCTAATTTAAGACAACAGATATGCTAATGATTAAAGCTTAGACGATGTAGTGGGGCCAAATATTCGTGTGTTGGCCTGTTGGGAAGGGTGTTGTTGTAAATCGCCTCACAATTATTGAGATTGTCACCAACCTCAAAAACATGTAAAGATTCTTTTTTTGCTACCTCCATTATCGTAGAATACAGTAACCTAGTAGACTTATCCTAATACTACGAATGCTCCCATGTTTTTATATTTTGAGATGAGTTTATTATTTGAGTTTAACACTATACATTAGGTGTTAAAAAAACTGAGAACAAGTACAATAGCAGACTATAAGTCAACTATAAATACATTTCGAGGAGATAAAGGATGTGAGAGAGCACCAACGGGCTATAGATTTGTAGCCAGCTGCAGCACGAACTCCAAGATATATGTGTATATAATAGGTGGAATCATATATTAATTGTGTTTACAGGTAACTATTGTATGAACTAGCTATTAGATTAACTATAGATAATTTAGAGCTAGTAGTTGGCTATACTATTAAACTTGTTGCGAGGCGGTATTGCAACCCTTAGCATATGACAGTAACAAGAGTTGAAGAGTTAAATTCATGAATCCCTGTATTTCTTTTCAGAAGAACAGAGAATAAAAAAAAAGAAGAAAAGGATACCCTTTATTAAAGCTTGATGATATCAGCTTAGTGTATAATTATTTGAGATTGAGGGGAATGTTCCATGTTTTGTTGAACTCTTTTCCCTCCTACTTCTTTATTAAACGAGATTTGTTTGATGTATCAGGGTGTCACGTTGTCATGTTATGTTTTTGTTCTGGAGATTCTTCTTTTCTTTAAAAAATGATCTGGAGACTCTTTTAATCTGATATATTTCGTCTGCTGTAGTATGTTCACTCTCTCAAGATATTTGCAACAACTTAATTACCTTAGCACATGAGTAGTAGAATTACTAGGAGTTATTTTGCACTATACTTTCTTTCTGAAGATATTTGCACTTGACATATAGTAGTAGAATAATCTGAAACTTCCTTTGGTAAGCAGATCTTGAACAAATCAAGGCGAAACAGAATCTTTCCCTTTCCTTTTTTTCACCCTGAAATCTTCTCAGACCTTGCTATTTTCGACTAGATCTTGTTAAAGCACACAAATTATGATGTTTTCTAATGAACATCATCGCCTGGTTGCTTGCGGGTGTGATGATGATATGATGCACAAGACAACCTTGGCAGCAGAGATGAGCCTTGTCTTTCCCTTTGGCATCCAGCGCTTTGCTCTTTAGCTCTTTTCCCCCCTTTGATTTTTGTCTTTAGATTTACCTCTTGGCAAGCAAAGCGTGTTATGCTCCCCACTTTGGCATGTATATAAGCACACCCAAGCTATCCTCCAAACGGCAGGAACACACCACCATCTGCATAATACTTCCTTCTCAAATCCCAACCAACAGTTGCAGTAGAGTCACTAGCCGCCCACTGCAACTGAAATGGCGCCGGCGAGCGTGAAGGTTTTCGGGTCACCCACCTCGGCGGAGGTTGCCCGCGTGCTCATGTGCCTCTTCGAGAAGGACGTCGAGTTCCAGCTCGTCCGTGTCGACGCGTACCGCGGCACGCAGCGCATGCCCCAATATCTCAAGCTTCAGGTATACTCATGCTCTGCATACCACATTGTCGTTGTGCAATTCTCGGACTGACACGTCTGGGGAAAATTGTGCAGCCGCTCGGCGAGGCGCTCACGTTCGAAGATGACAACCTCACCCTGTCCGGTAATTAGCATTGAGATTTGTAGTACGGATTGACACTTGAACGACTGTAAATAATGGTGTGGAATGCGTACATGCGTGCAGAGTCGAGGGGGATCCTTCGCCACATAGCGCACAAGTACGCGAGGCAGGGAAACCCGGACCTGATCGGCACGGGCGCGCTGGAGCGCGCGTCCATCGAGCAGTGGCTGCAGACGGAGGCGCAGAGCTTCGACGTGCCCAGCGCCGAGATGGTCTACAGCCTCGCCTTCCTGCCGCCCAACATGCCCAAGCAGAACGACAACGGGAACGGGAACGGCAACGGCTACGGCAACAGCAATGGCAGGGAGGTCCAGGTGGCGAACGCGTCGAGCAAGCGCGTGGTGGCCGGCGCGACGGACGGGAAGACGGCGGCGAGCGGCGCCAACGGCAACAAGCAGCAGCAGAAGGAGGAGGAGATGCGGAAGGTGTTCGAGAAGAGCAAGAAGGACCTGGAGAAGCTGCTGGACATCTACGAGCAGCGGCTGGAGGAGGCGGCGTACCTGGCCGGCGACAAGTTCACCATCGCCGACCTGTCCCACCTCCCCAACGCCGACCGCCTCGCCTCCGACCCGCGCTCCCGCCGCATGTTCGAGGCGCGCAAGAACGTGAGCAGGTGGTGGAACAACATCTCCAGCCGCGAGTCGTGGGAGTACGTCAAGAGCCTGCAGCGCCCGCCGTCCGCCGCGCACGCCGGCAACGCCCAGCAGCAGCAGCAGCAGCAATCGCCGTCCGCCGGCAACAACTACCAGCACCAGCAGGGCCAGGGCCAGGGCCAGCAGCACTACCGCAACGAGCAAGTCGAGAACTACAACAACTAAACATGGGCATATCGACGATCGAGCTGCATGAGTTCCAAGGGGTTGTCACGTATGCTTCCTACTGTTACTTTACTTGCGCCTTTGCCATTTGCGCGCCGTGTCGATTAATTTGTCGCAGATTGTCTGGCCCGGCCTCCAGTACGTCGTCACTACGTGTTTTGTTCGGCATCGTGGTTTTTCTACCGTTGTAACAGTCGCAGTTTACCTATCGTCCTTGTAATAAAATGTTGGCCAGCCCCTTTCATATGAAAGTGAAGTTTTGATTGTGTCCTTTCCATGAGTTTAGTTTGACTGTTTTATCCATAAGCCGTTTTCCTTTTAGATCATGTGGTAATGCACTAATTAATGCATGACAATAAGGAAAACCGGTTACGAAACAGAGGATTTCATGATACAAGTTGACTAAGAGCATCACCAACAGATTATCTATAATTTTCTTTTAAAAATTCGTTTTTGGTTTCCTAAACTGAAAATAGGAAGTGAAAAAACACCTCCGTCCAATAGATAGCCTAAATTCAATCCCTAAAACTTAAAAGTGGGCCCTTCTGTTAAACTACCAAGAGAAAATTCTATTTTTTTTCTTTCACGCGCAGAAAGATCGCTATCTCCCACGCGCGGGAACGAAGGAGAGAGGCAGGATTGCGTGATTGGGAGCGACTTTCGCGCCCGCATATAAACGGAGCGAGCAACCGGGGGAAGGGAACTCCAAAACTCGGGTAGGAGAGTAGAGGATCTGTTGGAGCTGATTTTTGGATTAAAATCCCTCAAAATTAGTTTTGGAAATCATATAGGTAGCTTGTTGTTGATGCTCTAATTAACTTGTGCAACATGAGGGGCACGACATAGCCTGGGTGATAAATGAAAACAAATCTTAAAGATTGTACAACTAAACTACTTCCATATAGGTCAAATAATTCTTCGGGTCACAGGATCAAGTTAATCAAAAGAAAACAAAATAAAATGGGTTATTCCCAAACGAAACAGTTAAGCATTTTCCACGGGTAAAAAAAACCAAGGACAACATATGAATTACAGATATTTAGAATTACAAATCCACGGGAAGTTCATCACAGCAACAGGCCAACAGCCCATGTCGATGTTCTCGGCAGCAACAAATGCCAAACATCTTAACTTGATAGATTTCCAGAATTATTCAGGCGACGTTTATTTCCCACGGTAACGTGGTCGTGCACTGCACACGTACGGCTTTGATGATCAGCTCGGCAAGAGCTGCCCTTCCTTGGGCTTGGTGAGCATCTGCCTGGCGCGCACGCGCATCTGCAGCCGCACCATCGCCTGCATGCAGTGGATCGCCACCTCCGCCTGCCGCCGCACGTACGCCCCCCGCGCCACCGCCTGCAGCCGCACCAGGCTCTTCAGCGCCTTGAACGCTCGCCTCGCCTGCAAAACACAAGCAAAATCCTCTTACCAATGGCCGAAACAAACAGGTCTCGGTTAGATATAAGTTTTTTTGTTTTTCTACGCGCGCACCAGGTGGCCTCGGAAGTAGGCTTGGATGGTGACCGCGGCCACGTCCTCGCGTGGGAAGCCCTGCCTGCACAGCAGCGCGTACTCGTCGTTCGAGCTGGTCTCCTCTTCCTTTGTTACCGACTCCTCGGCGGCGGCCTCCACGAGGCCAGTGTTGTAAACCTTGACGTCGCCGCCGTTGCCGACGTCGCCACCCGCGCGCGCCGTGCGGCGTGGCGTCTGGCCCGTGGACCGGAGCCAGCGGCGCCGCCTGCCCAGCTTCGCGTTGCCCTGAGCCGTGCCCGTGCCACGGACGTAGCACGCGCGCTGCGTCGTGGGAGTCCGCGGCGTCCTTGCGGCGGCAGGCGCCGACGACTGGAAGCAGCCGACCTGCCCGCGGCGCGGGGTGCGGGAGCGGACGCCGCAGAGTCGCCTGGCCGTGGGCGTGCACGGCGTCTTGGGTGTGCGCGGCGTGCGCGCGCTGGTGGTGGTGCTGCTGCGGCCGCGGAGGTTGTTGTCACCGCCGCCGCCGCCGCTGCCGCAGCAGCTGGTGAGAGGCGCTCTCACGCTGTGGTCGGCGTGGGGAGCGAGGCAGGGCACGCAGCCGCCGCCACCGCCGACGGCGGACGACGGCTTGTGGTGTGGGCCGATGCAGCATATGCACGCGGCGCTGCTGCGGCGTGCGTCACCGGCGTGGCGCTTGCCGCTGAGCGGCGACATGAGGCAGGAAAGACCTCGCGCTCTCGGCATGGTCAAGCAAGAGTCGTTCTTGGTGCAGGCTTACGTGTTGCGAGTTAGAGGATGGCTGGGTCGCCTAGCCGGCGAAGTGGTATATATGGGAGTCAGTGCAGAGCAAATCCAAGCGATGTGCGCGCCTCTAACTCTAAAGCTGGCGTAGTGGCGTCGGGCCGTCGCCCGTCGGTATGGTCGTTTTATTTGAGGTTTGCGCGTGAGATCGAACAGACTGTAGTTTATTCATTCATTGTTTGTATAAGCAACGTGGGAGGATGTAACATGTGAGCCATGGATGGGTGGTACAGCATAAGTTGTACTAGTTCTACTTATCCGCATATTTGCTTTGATGCATTATTTCTGAAATGAAGGGCGGTTGATCACTAGTACAGAAAAATAAGAGTAAATAATCGTGATAGATGAACTTATAATATAGTTGAACTGATGTTTGGCAATTAGCGCAAGCACACTGCATATAATTGCAACCATTTGTTTGTCCTAAAAGACAGATAGTACATGAGGCATGGAGCTTAGAGTAATTTGACAATATCCATCCAAGGGAAATAAGGGCTTGTTTACTTTGCTATCATTTTCAATCTTACCAAGTTTTGACATTGCCAAATTTTGGTAAGGTTGTCAAAAATTTTAGCAAGATTTCATATGTATTTATTAAAATTTGGCAACAAACTAAACATAGCCAAAATTTTGGTAACTTTACGAAAAAATGGTTGAAAATAATATTAAACTGAACAGGACCTAAGATAACAAAAGCACATAACGATGATGGAGGGGAACCGGAAAACTCACGAAGGTACGAAATCAGCGGAACAGCCATGTCCCCTTGCTCCTTCCAAGAGGATTGGCGTCAGGCTTGCGCACAATCCCCCACTCTTTGACATGGTGCCACGGCCAAAACTCTGGGTCTGACTACAACATCTTGCAACCACACCTGGAACGACTCACCGAGTCCAATGCCCAAAACCCTAGATCACGCCGGCTTTCATGAGCAATAGAGAAAAAAAAACGCCGCCAAAGTAGCAGAGACTCCTTCCTCCTCTCCCCTATTTTCTGCCTTAATCCCGGGCTCGGGCGATCTCTTATCTCCCAGCAGTCGGTCACGTACCCGAGCTCCGGCGCAAGGCGGGCTTGCTGAGTGAAGGGCGTGGCGCGGCGCGCGAGGAGTATCTGGAGCGGAAGTGCCGCCGGGGCGTCGACGCGTGGTGGAAGCGTCGGTGAGGACTAGGGCGTATTGGATAACTAGAGGATGCCCCGCACGTTGCTGCGGGACTTGGTTAACAACAATTTGTTAGATAGGAGGTACAATCTCAAGAAGAAACAAATAGATTTTTTGGAGAAATTCTTTTTAACAGCCCTATTCAAAATTTGTAGATAATTTAGATAGCACATGTCAACTGAAGGGGTGTTCAGCCATAAAGCTCTTTTATACGGATTAACGGGCTGGATACATGTAGATGTGTGTGGAGATGGGCCAATGTGTTTATGTGGGCTACATTTGGTACTGAGGAGGCGAAGAGACTCACCCGGTGACTAATGGGTTGGGCTATATGTTACATTTCATCCAACGTCTAAGAAGCGATCTAATACATTCATCCAACGGTTACAATTTAATGATGGCGTGGAAGCACGAGGTTAACTTTATTGATAGAAGGGATTAGATCTGGGGACTGCTTCGTTTTCGATCGATTTGGTTTGTGCCGCGTTGGCGTGTCGGTGATGGTCGCCTCGACGGTGATGTAGTGGGCCTCGACGGGAAGCCCGTATTACTGATTCTAGAATAGGCCGGCCTCTGGGATTTCGGCCCATCTTCCTTGTGGAGAATAATAACAACAGATTCCCTGAGTTATGAGTACCGCGCGTTATGATCTTCTCTGCCTGATGCGAATGGGGGTGCGAATGAAGCTGAACTTCGGTACAGACTGAAGGTAATTGATGCTGAGGTCAACTAATTTCAGCTTTGGCACTACTTTTTTCCCCCGAAATACGGTACAGACGCGGATGTTATTATACACACGCATACTTGCATTTATAAACGTACACACGCACACCCTTATCTCTATTAGCACCTCTAAAAATTAAGCCAGCATATAAATATATTTTAATATTGACGAAATCATCATAGACCGACGTCTTATTATTCAGCATATTTTAATATTGACGAAATCATCGTAGACCGACGTTTTATTATCTAGCATATCTTAAAATTAACAATATGTATATCTTGAAATTAACAAAGTTAGCATAAGCATCTCGTTGTACGATATATCTTCATATTGATGAAGTTGATACAAGCGTGTCGCTGTCGATGCATATGTCACCTACCAAGCTACCACTGAAATAATAATTAGCCGCAAATATAAATGCATGTGTCTAGAACTTAAACTGGATGGCTCAGATTCAATCATAAGGCGGGGTTTTTTTCCTGGTGGTTGGGAACTAATTTGCGGTGCATGTAAAACGGAGCGACTAATTAATGCATAATTAATTAATAGTTTTTTTAAAAAAAGATTAATATGAGTTTTTCAAACAACTTTCCTATAGATTTTTTTTTGAAAAAACGCATCGTTAATAGTTTGGGGAGTGTACACACGTAAAACGAGAAGGAATGAGTTAGGAACTTCAAGCAACGAACACAAACTAAGAGCAAGTTTAATAGTATAGTCAACTGGTAGCTTCAAATTATCTATAGCCAATTTAATAATCTATTCATGCAATAGTTATCTATAAATATATACTGCATCATTAATACATAGTGCCACATCTCGTACACACATAACATTTTGAAGTTCGTGCCGAAGTTGGTTATAAATCTGTAGCCCAATTTCCTTTTCTCTCTTCTCTGATCTCATCCACGTGTTTATAGCTAACTTGTAACCTGCTACCTAACCAGCTTAGCATTGCGCTTTGGTACTACTTTGGATCTTTTTTTTTTCTCATTGAAACAATGTACATTACATTTGTATAGAGATTATTAGTGTTTTTACACGTAATAGTCAAATAAGAACAACTACCAAAACGAAATAAAGATAGTCTGCTTGCTAGAATAACATAAGAGATACGAGCTGATGAGCGTAGCCACAGTTTTGATCAACTCCTGTACAAACAAAAATATAGAAGTATACAAACGAAATCGATCACCATCTTATAAATCCTCAAACAACGTCATCAAACACACCGGTGATCTGAACGATAAAGCCGATGCTGCCAATTGAATAATGGGCAACCCGACATCAAAGACCTTACAAATGCGATAGCCACCGATCACCAAAGAGAATGAGAAGACCAAAGAATCAACAAATCTAACATTAAAACTAGCTATTAGATCTATTGAACAATTTACGTGGAATAAACCCTTAAACTTATACAAAGCAGGGCTCCAAATCAGAGACAGAGATGGACCTGCTTAACTGCTCCATCTGCAATTCAATTCTACAGAGCGCTTTTGCATCTCAGTTGACGAAATATGAAGTCTAAGTCAATAGCTACCATTGCCAGGCAAGTCTCCCTCTCAAAAGTGAAGTCTAGTCAAGTCACGCGATGATCGATCAGTTGGACCTTGCACGAGTCCACTACCACCGCCAGACAACGGCTCGGCTGACTGACCACGACGTCGCTGTGAGGATTCAGATGCGGTCTTCTCCCCGGCCGCGCGAGATGATTCCCACGCACAAGTGCACAACTACACGGCAGCAACAGCAAGAATTCGCTCCATTTCCCCTCCATTCCAGCCAGATTGTTTTGCCTTTTTCTTTTTAGCCCGCGAATTTCATGGTGATTTGCCTTTTTCGGTCGTTGCCCATGCACTGGAGGAACAAATTCTTTGCTGCAGATTATGTGAGATATTATAGATTATAGTATGGAAGTTCTTAAGAAGTTTACTGCCACAGTTGAAAACTCACAAATATGCATGAATGATTTTTTTTTAGCAGCATACTGATCATGGATGAATTTTTCACTAGAATATATTTGAGTTACATGTAAATTATTACTGGTACAACACTACAACTGGTTCTTCTAGCCCGGATTTTTTTTTAGCAACGTGTGAGATGTAGATTAACAGAGGTAATTGCCTCTGAAATTTTCTGTATGTTTAGCCATAAAGGATGCAACCAAAAACAATGGATAACCTTCTGCTAGCTGAAAAGGAATTCAGGTGATGCTTGAATTCAGGGACTAAATTCTAATCTCACATCGGATGTTTGGACATTATTTTAACTAATTACATAAATAAGAGCTAATTCACGTGACAATTTTTTTAAGCCTCATTAATCCATAATTAGCACATGTTTACTGTAGCATCACATAGGTTAATTGTGAATTAATTATGCTCAATAGATTCGTCTCGCGAATTAGTCCAGGGTTATGGATTAGGTTTTATCAATAATCTACATTTAATACTTCTAATAATTAGTGTCCAAACATCCAATGTGATAAGAATTAAAAATTAGTCCATCCAAACAGCCCCTAAAGCCGTTTAGGGGCATATGCGTGTGCTACGTCTGAACTGAACTCCCCAGATTTTTTTTTTGTTTTGAAAAATGTGATCTCTCCAGATACATTGTTCGAATCAATGCCACGGTGATAAGCAAAATCAAATCAAGTGTGGGCGTGTGGCTTGGCGTGTCCATAGCGCTTCATAATCATATCCATGAGTTCAAACAATCATACTGTTCGATCGGTTATTAGACCCTGTTTAGATGGGACTAAAACTTTTAAGTACCTATCACATCAGATGTTTGGATACTAATTATAAATGTTAAACGTAGACTATTAATAAAATCCATCCATAATCTTAGACTAATTCGCGAGACGAATCTATTGAGCCTAATTAATACATGATTAGCCTATATGATGCTACAGTAAACATTCTCTAATTATGGATTAATTAGGCTTAAAAAATTTGTCTCGCGAATTAGCTTTCATTTATGTAATTAGTTTTTGTAAATAGTCTATATTTAATACTCTAAATTAGTGTCTAGAGACAGGGATTAAAGTTAAGTCCCTGGATCCAAACACCACCTTAATTTACTACAGATTGCATTCAATGGAGATGATTGGCAACAGAAAAGGAGGCTTTCACACTGGATCCTGAAATATCTTGAGGCTCAATCTGAACCATGCAAACTTTAGTGTGATCTACTGATCTTGCATATGCTTCTATGTATAATATATGCTAAGAGCCTATGGGCCAGTGACAGGAGCATAGTGAAATAAACACTTTTCAAGTAGGTGTAGTGTTGGCATTGCTATATCTTATTGAGCACATATAACTGATTATAAGGCTTTGGTACTAGTTGTATTTGGATCAATCAAAAGCCACATTCTGTGTGATCATTAACTAGCTTGAAAGATTATTGTAGCAAGGCAACTTTTGAGGAGAACAGCTAAAGATTAGTAAGTGGTGCTATGTGTAAGAGCACCTCTTTGTTTTTATAAAACGTCGGCGTCCTTTGTTTTCACTAGAGTGGATTTGTAGGCAACAACACGAAGACCTAAGAATACATGGCCTGATTGATGGATAATTTGGATTGGGTCGTTGAGCTATAATAACTGTGAAAAAAGTTCAGGAAGATTATTCCATTTGTATTGTATACAAAGTGGTTCATTAACTTATTGTATGGATCATAGAGTAGATCAAACGTAACAGGAGAGAGGAAGTGGGCTATACATGCAGCAGCAACAGAAAATTGCTCCGCAAGTGTGCAGAAACAGGAAAGTTCGATTCTGCCAAATATAAAATGAGTGCCAGATCGAATCAATTCTATTCAATTCAAAAATATTT